AAGTACGAGTTTGAATCATTTCAGCTTTAAAACTAGAGTTCTAACGTCACTTCCTGTTATTAACATGACTTAACTTTGTTCTTGTCCACCAGATGGCTATAACGCTTGTACACTCCCTGTAGTTAATTATAGCCATCCTAATAGGGAATTCACGAAGTACGAGTTTGAATCATTTCAGCTTTAAAACTAGAGTTCTAACGTCACTTCCTGTTATTAACATGACTTAACTTTGTTCTTGTCCACCAGATGGCTATCACGCTTGTACACTCCCTGTGGTTGTTCATAGCCAGCCGAATTCGAAGCCACAAAAAACGAATTGACGAAGAACGAGTTCCAATCCTTTCATCGTCGTGATTAAAGTTATTACGTCACTTCTTGTTATCAGTTTATTGTAAACAAGGGTTATTACTTCTGATTACATCAGCTATACGTTGTCTTTTGTCAAAAGTGTATTGTTTTCAACTATGAGATACATGGGAGATATTTCATACTGCGGCGAATTAAAGAAACAATAAACATATTTTTTCAATAATATTACTATGTGGTACTTTGCACCGTTCATTCCCTCCCTGACGCGGAAAATGGAGTGTTCTAATTATGGTTTCAGTTTCTTTTTCAAGATATTCTTAAATCATTTTCACATACACACACTATATATATATATATATATATGTAAAAATCTGTTTATGTTTAGAATGATATAGAATATTTCTGAGGCTACCAGAGAGAAAAAAACAAGTTTTTCAAAAATAATTTCATGGTGAATAGTTCCATGACTACTTCTAGTTACTGTAAACTTATGAATATGAATAAAATTATTGGGATTACGGCCGAAAATGTCGTTCATAACGAAGTCAGTATTTATCATAACTTCATAAGATTTACAGATTAAAAATAATAAGTCGAACGCAAGCCTCAAGAGGGCTAAAAATCTCTTCTTTAGGGTAACCAGCAGAAGAAAGACGGAATATTCCAGTACGTTGATGGTTGTACAAATTTCAGGAACTAGCAGGGGAAAGACGGAATATTCCAGAACGTTGGTGTCTGTACAAACCTTAGTAACCAGCAGAAGAAGGACGGAATATTCCAGTACGTTGGTGTCTGTACAAACCTCAGCTACCAGCAGAAGAAAAACGGAATATTCCAGAACGTTGATATTTGTACAAACCTTAGTAACCAGCAGAAGAAAGACAGAATATTCCAGAACGTTGATGTCTGTACAAACCTCAGTTACCAGCAGAAAATAGACGGAATATTCCAGTACGTTGGTGTCTGTACAAACCTTAGTAACCAGCAGAAAATAGACGGAATATTCCAGTACGTTGGTGTCTGTACAAACCTTAGTTACCAGCAGAAGAAAGACGGAATATTCCAGTACGTTGGTGTCTGTACAAACCTTAGTAACCAGCAGAAGAAAGACAGAATATTCCCGAACGTTGGTGTCTGTACAAACCTCAGTTACCAGCAGAAGAAAGACGGTATATTCCATTAAGTTAGTGTCTGTACAAACCTCAGTTACCAGCAGAAGAAAGACAGAATATTCCAGAACGTTGGTATCTGTACAAACCTTAGTAACCAGCAGAAGAAAGAAGGAATACTTCAATAAGTTTATGTATGTTTAATTTATTAACTTTCGCTCATTTTTTCGTTTTTATTCGGTATAATAGTAAAACGTATGGACAAACGTACAAAACTGAACAAAATATGTTTTTACTCATCAGTATAGCTATAGAAGACAAGCTGAACAAATAAGTTACTTATGATGAAGGCAAAACAAATTGAAAAAATAAGATTACGTTTGCCCAATATAGTCATACAAATGACATTTCTAAATTAAGCGATTTTTCTAGTATTATAGCAACTTGATATTTTTAATTTGTCCTCTTTTACCGAAATATAGTAAAGTAAGCTTAATATAGAAAATTTACAAATTTCAGAGGCGATGGTCAGTAAACAATTGTTGAATTTAATTGAAAAAGAACGTTTAAAATTATTCATATTATAAATATTTTAACAACAAAATAAATGATATACATATATATAACACGAACCAGTAGAAAAGAAACATTAAAGCTCATAAAACGTTTTACAAACCTATCTATTAAATGTTTTCATTGTTCTGTTATAGATACGTGCTTACTAGATTCACCCATACACCCAACAATAGTTTAAGAACTATCATTCGGTGAAGCTCACTGATTGGTTAGATTTCAAACTTCACATTTCCGTAAAACTCGAGTTTCTGAAAATCAAACTATAGCAGTTTGTTTCTGTTGGTCTGTCCGTGACGAAAAATGTCCAACTTTTGATCACCAGGAAACTTTCAGAAGTCTTGGATTTAAAAACTTACCTTATTTTAATCACTCTTTACCAGTTGTTACTGACGACGACCTTGCCACACCGACTTACCCATGAAGTAGGTATCACACCTGGTGTGGATATCTTTGTTAGGCCTTGTGAAAAGTATACTCGTTACAGGGTTGATTTTTAATTTCGCTCTAAGTAGGTAGCTTACTAAGTAATCATTAGTATAGTTACATTATAATGTTGTTTCGAATGAGATTTTGTGAATGTATTTTTTGCTCATTCATAACTGATTACAGAGAAGACGAAACAGAATTACCTGTTGGTAACAAATAACTGTGTATTTGTGAGAATTGATTACAGAGAAGACGAAACAGAATTACCTGTTGGTAACAAATAACTGTGTATTTGTGAGAACTGATTACAGAGAAGACGAAACAGAATTACCTGTTGGTAACAAATAACTGTGTATTTGTGAGAATTGATTACAGAGAAGACGAAACAGAATTACCTGTTGGTAACAAATAACTGTGTATTTGTGAGAATTGATTACAGAGAAGACGAAACAGAATTACCTGTTGGTAACAAATAACTGTGTATTTGTGAGAATTGATTACAGAGAAGACGAAACAGAATTACCTGTTGGTAACAAATAACTATGTATTTTTGAGAATTGATTACAGAGAAGACGAAACAGAATTACCTATTGGTAACAAATAACTTTGTATTTTTTTTCCAGTTTCACATTAAATACTGAATTACAGTTTAAGATGTAACATAGTACCTCTACTGACGTAACATGGTACCATTATGACTTCATATGCACTCTGTCTGACTTAATAAATGACCCATGCTATCCTTTCTGTATTAGGGCAGATTAGCTGTATCAAATTTGTTATACAATCCCTACAAATTATTTTCTTGATTTCTTAGTTGAAACAATAAAACAACAACATATTCCTTCTTGTGCTTTTCAAAAATTCTTGTATTTCCAAACAAAATGTATACGAGCATATTTTGAATACAATGGCTAAATTTTGATGATGACATTTGTTTTCGAAATCTGTAACTGATAAGTTTCCAGATTTAACGTCGAAGTATTCAATATACAGTGTGTAGTCATTGCTAACTTTACTACTCTATATAGCACTACATCGAGATTCTATCGGTACAGCAATGTTTGGCTATAGCTGTGACGTCACGATGATATTCAATAGAACATAGATACTGTTTAGATATTTCTGATACTATTGGTTGTATAAAAATATCTTAACTTCTTAGCTAATAGAATAACTCCAAGTCTTGCTCTCCGAGTTCAACGTTCCATGCAAACAGTTTGTCGTGTGTCAGTCTCTGTACTTTGACTAGCTTTTTTCTTTCTTTCAAATTAAGGAATACGAAATCAAAAGTTCGAAGTGCACATAAACTTCCAGTCATTTAAACAGGCAAGTAGTAAATAGATTTATTCTAGTTCTTTGAATCAAATAAAACGTAGTTTAATCAACCATTAAACGTTGTTTAAGTAGTTTAATTAACCATTAAACCTTGTAAAAATAGTTTAATCAACCATTAAAAGTTGTTTAAGTAGCTTAATTAATCATTAAACCTTGTAAAAATAGTTTAATCAACCATTAGAATTTGTTAAAGTAGTTTAATCAACCATGAAAAGTTGTTAAAGTAGCTTAATTAATCATTAAACCTTGTTAAAATAGTTTAATCAACCATTAAAAGTTGTTTAAGTAGTTTAATTAACCATTAAACCTTGTAAAAATAGTTTAATCAACCGTTAAAAGTTGTTAAAATAGTTTAATTAACCATTAAACCTTGTAAAAATAGTTTAATCAACCGTTAAAAGTTGTTAAAATAGTTTAATCAACCGTTAAAAGTTGTTAAAATAGTTTAATCAACCGTTAAAAGTTGTTAAAATAGTTTAATTAACCATTAAACCTTGTAAAAATAGTTTAGTCAACCATTAAAATTTGTTAAAGTAGTTTAACCAAGCATTAAAAGTTGTTAAAGTAGCTTAATTAATCATTAAACCTTGTTAAAATAGTTGAATCAACAATTAAAAGTTGTTTAAGTAGTTTAATTAACCATTAAATCTTGTAAAAATAGTTTAATCAACCGTTAAAAGTTGTTATAATAGTTTAATTAACCATTAAACCTTGTAAAAATAGTTTAATCAACCATTAAAATTTGTTAAAGTAGTTTAATCAACCATTAAAAGTTGTTAAAAATAGTTTAATTAACCATTAAACCTTGTAAAAATAGTTTATTCAATCATTAAAATTTGTTAAAGTGGTTTAATTAATCATTAAACCTTGTAAAAATAGTTTACCAACCATTAACATTTGTTAAAGTAGTTTAATCAACCGTTCAAAGTTGTTAAAAGTAGTTTAATTAACCATTAAAAGTTGTTAAAGTATTTTAATTAACAAATAAAACTATAAAAGTAGTTATATTAACCATTAAAAGTTGTTAAAGTACCTTAATTAACAAATAAAACTTTATAAAAGTAGTTTAATCAACCAGTAAAATTTGTTAAAAGTAGTTTAATTAACCATTAAACCTAGTAAAAATAGTTTAGTCAACCATTAAAAGTTGTTAAAGGACCTTAATTAACAAATAAAACTTTATAAAAGTAGTTTAATCAACCAGTAAAATTTGTTAAAAGTAGTTTAATTAA